GGAATTCAAGTTTTTGGCTGGCTTTTCTCTTTCATCAATTATCAAATCTTCAATCTTGCTTCTATAAATTGATCTTATCTTGATTTTAGTCCAAAACTCCAACAATTTCTCCATTTGAGTACAAAACCTACAAATAAAGATAAAATCATATAAATAGCATATTTCTACTCAAAATATATTGCAAAAATCATAAATTAGGGATATAATAAATAGGTAAAATATAAGCATATCAATAAGTTTGTCCTTTATGAATGCTCCATGACTCTGATTCAATAGGCAGGGCTATATCTTAGAGAGTTTATTACTTATTATCTTGGTAATATACTTATATAGTGTATTACAACAACATATAGGCCTGTACTCAGTTGCTAATTGCGGGGACTCCACCTTCGAAACTAAAGTTATCATTGTTGCATTCTCCCACTTAAGGATCTTTCCTGTTTTAAAAAACTCCTCTACTGCTTCACTAGTTATTTTCCCAACCACTTCCCAGGTTTTCTTGTAGAAACTACTATTTAACCCCTTTGGCCCAGGGCTCTTCGTGTCATCAATATAGAACATAGCCTTCTTTATCACTAAGTCTTTGACATCCCTGATAAGTTCCAACTGATTCTCTACTGATAATAAAGGCCCTTTGTCACACACCTCCTATTTGACAGGGATTCTGCTAACTTCGTTTCCCAACAGGTCCTTAGAAAACCCTAGAAAATGCTCCCCAATCGCCTTCCACTCACCCACAACAGAGTCACTATCAGTGGTTTATGACATGATTCTTTTTTTCTTCTGCTTCTGCCTTATTGCAGCAGAAAAATACTATGTATTAAGATCCCTTTGCTGCATCCACTTCTCTTTTACCTTCTGCTGCCAATAGCTATAAGCATGTAACTTCATTTCCGTATACATTCGTACAACTTCCTTTTCTTTCTCTTGTAACTCTATATTCTGGGGTTGACTTTGTAGCTCCTTCTGAAAGGTTTCAATATGCCTTTTACATTCAAGAACTTTTTTATCAATATTCGCAAACTTTCGTCAATTCAACTCTTTAAGCAGGGGTTTTAGATACTTCTGTTTTTGAACCAGTTGAAACAATTTGCATCCCTTAATCTCTTTTCCCCATACTTGCTGAACCATCCCCAAATATTCATCATCTTTTATCCACATGTTTAAAAACCTAAACCATTTCTTTGAGTAACATTCATTATAGTTCCATCTAATCACCAAAGGGCAGTGATTAGACAGACCTTCTGGCAGGACTTTCACTGAACTCTCTTCATAGTTTATCATCCAATCCCCATTAACTAACACTATCTAACCGTGCATAAATTCTTTGATCCGCAGCTTGCTTATAATTCCAGGTATAGTATCCCCCATGTGATAATTGATGCCACAATTGACATTCATCTATCATTATTTTAAACTCTCCTATATCCAATGAAGTCACCGGCAGTCCTCCAACTTTTTAATTTGGGTCCAACACATTGTTAAAGTCTCCTGCAATCATCCAAGTTGTCGTTACATTTTGCCCTATCTGCATTAGTTCATTCCATAAGTGTGTCCTTTCATTTCTGTTGTTTGCTCCGTAAACCACTATTATTAAGTACTCCCTTTTAGCCATTCTATCAACCACTTCACAATGCATAAACTATTCTTCACTTAATAGTATCTTTATTTTTATCTCCTCCTTTTTCCATATCACTACTATTCTGTTTCTTTCCCCATTCCTGCTATTTCCCATATACTCATAATCTGGCCATCCCTTTCTCATATAATCTTCCAACTTTTCATTTTTCATTTTGACTTCCACTACCCCTATTATACTTTCATAGTTTGCTGAGACTAAGTTTTTTCGTTGTCTTTGTTTCAGGGGACTATGCAAACCCCTTGCATTCCATATAAAAATATTATTCATAGGGAATACTTCCCTTATCACCCCCTCCTTATCCCTCCTTTCCAACCCAAATCCTATAGTCCCTCACTAGGTTCCCATCATACTTTGCAGTCTCAACTGGCTGATCACTTATCCTTGGTAAGTCTTTATCAACAATCTGCTTTTGTTTTCCATCCTCTACTTGTTGGGTTTCCACAGTTACAGCCTTCTTCGGCTTCCGTACTTGTTTCACCTTCTACCTACATATAGTAGTTTCATGGCCATACCATTTGCACTCTTCACATCTAACAGGTTTCCACTCACCATGTTCATCTTCAAATCATAGTTGCTCAGGGAGTTTCTGCTTAATCTCCATTTCCACTAACACACTAGCAAAACCAATTCTCTATTTGCTAGCTGTTATCTCATCCATTTGAAGAGGTTTACCAACTATACTAGCCAATCTACTCAGTGACTTAGCTCCCCAATACTTCAACTGCAATCCAGGAAGTTGAATCCAAATAGGAACTTTGAGAATTTCCTCCATTTTGAATCCCTCCTCCACCGACCAATCCTTCACTATTAGGGGCTTACTATCCAGATGATAGTGGTTTTCCAGCACTACTTGCTTTCCTTCCATATTACTAAATCTAACCACATACACACCATTGTCAAGTAACAGTACCTTATCCACCCCAAACCTTCCCCATGTATGCCTTAGGTATCCATTCATCACCCTATAAGGGGGGTAGCATCCCAAAGTATAGCAAACAACAGATTTCTTCCAGAATTCAATCTCATCCTCAATATCATCCTTCATTATTGTTGCTATCTTCTTATCAGCTACCACATTAGGGTCAACATAGTCCAATTTAACTGGAGCAGGCCTAAGTTTCAGGATTAAACCTAGTCCAATTGGGATCTATTTTCGATCTCCAATTCCCCTTCTGACCTCCCATTCTACTATCTGATGCTACAATTCTAAGACGGCATAACTCTTCCAACACCAAATTCGCTCAATTAGACAGAGATTCATATACAGGGGCATAACTCTTCCAACACCAAATTCGCTCGATTAGACAGAGATTCATATACAGGATTCATACCATTCTCCGAAGTTTGAGGCTCCTCCACAGTTTCCAGTTTGCTTCCTGAAGATTCCCTAATCCCACTCTCAGAATTCCTTGCTACCTTCGTTGGTATCTTCACTGCAACTTGTTTTCCCATTGCTTGCCTTGCCATGGCAGACACTCAGGGCGAGTATCAGCTCGCTAGGGGAAAGATCGCGACAGTTACAAAACAAAAAATCACACTCACAAAATGTGGAATCGCCCATAGTAGCACAAGTATCCGCGCGTGTTATGTGTTTTCTTCTTGTTTTTTCTTATTTACTTTTATTTATCCAAATCAAATGTTACTATACCAAAATATAAAATTTGACAAACTAAAAAATATTCTAAAATATTTATTTAGTTTATCCATATTTTTTTCTGGCCCATTACTGAATCAACTACCAATTTTCACCATTGTATCTTGGAAAATTCTAAAATTAATGAAACAATTATATAATAAAAAATAAAATATCTCAAAAATACTAAAATAAATTTGATAAATAATATGAAAGTAAAAAATTATCATGTGATAAATTATTTTAACGATTCAAAGAAATGTAAAAATTAAATTTATTTTCCGTTTTTTTCAAATTCTTTCTTCCCGACTTCCATTTTCTCAAACTCTAAAATTTTAAATTTTTACATTGTCATTTTTTTAACTCCTATTTTACATTTTTACATCACAAACATTAGAAACTTTATTTGGTTTACCTTACGCATTTTTTTGCCTTCAATAAAAAGATCAAAACAACAAACTTTCTTTTTTTCGATTATTGTTACTCTTTTAATTTTGTTTGATGTGATAACTAAAATAAGGTTTGGATAACGTTTTTCAAGTAAAAAATGGTTAGTAAGGTAAAAATAAAGCAAAGAACGAAAAACATAAAAAAAAAAAATTGAACAAATTTTTGTGAATGTAAATTTATTAAGAACTTTATTATTGAAAATTTATTGTGGAAAATTTGTTTAAGTTAATATTATTTCTTTAGTATTCTATGCTTCTTTTTTAGTTACCTTTTTATTTTGTTAATTTTTAATATTATGTGTAAAATTGGAAACGATATGATAGTTGGTTTAGTATTAGGCAAGTGAAATAAAAAAAATAATATAAAATATAAATTATAAAAATCGCTATCAAATCCAATCTTAATATCCAAAATATAAAAATTATTACATTATTTATCTTATTTTCTCTCATTTTTACCCCAAATAAACTAAAAAATATCATAAAATATTTGCTTATATAATGTGCATAGCTTCAATCTCACTGTGTTGTACTTCTAAATCTCTAATGTAGTCTTTTAGATCGTTTAATATCATAATTGAGTGTCGGAGGATTAACATAGTGACGGTATGGTATTTACCAACTTAGGATTTGCAACGGTCATTTATGGATCCATGGAGTTTTGGATACATATATGGAAAGATGTCAGTGCGGTTTTTGATCTGCGTAATCTTGTCAGATTTTATATTGTATGATCTTAATTCTTAACTAAGACAATGGCTTCTTCAAGAAAAAACAAAAGAAAAAAAGTAACACGTTTGAGTGAAAATGAAGAGAAGGTTTGATAATCGCTGAGGCGGGAAAATGACCCACGGAGTCAACAAACAATACTTTTTAGTTTTTAACAAAAAAAGATAAAAAGATAAAAAGATTAAACAAGATAAAAAGATTATCTCCACAGAAAAAAAAGATTAAACAAGCACTACAGAACAAATCTTTTGTCTACTTTTTAGTTTTTAGCAGTCCTCCTGTTATTACTGGTCTAAAGATACCTATTAATCTATTATCTCCACATCCAACAACCCCACTTCTGTTCCGTTTTCTTTCTTTAACATGTTACCAGAAAATTTTTAATAACTCCATTGATTTCTCAATAATACTATCTCTGTCCCAAAAAAAAAAAAAGTTCACAATGAATTTTGAGTTTTGTAATAATTTTTTTTTTTTTTTACAAAGGGAGTATAATTTACATAATAAACTCAAGAGATGACTGTATGAATCGAATTTGGTGGGCCAGCGTCTTTGTTCCTATCAAGTCATCCGTGACGACTTGGTTTTCTTGCCCATCAGCTCATTTTGTTTCAAGAGCTCTCTGTTTTTTTCAATTTTCACTTGTTCACTTCACTTGTATTCAACCAACACAAATGAAATTCTTGTAATTAAAAAAAAAAAACACACACACACACACAAAGGAAGTTCTCTTCTACGGTTGGATTTAAGATGGCTGATGCTGCAATCGGGGTCATTACTGGGGCGGTGCTGAAGATGGCGATTTCACTTGCTGGTGAGGAGCTAAGTCTTTCGTTGGGTATAAAGAAGGAACTCAGAAAGCTAGCTGAGAAGCTGCAGATGATTGAAGCTTTGTTGTCTGATGCACAAAGCAGGCAAGTAACCAGTGAAGCAGTTCGACTCTGGCTTAAAAAGCTTGGGTCAATCACACTTGATGCTCAGATTGTGTTGGATGACTTTGGCTACCAAGTCCTTCACCAGAAGATCAAGTGTCAAAAGAGGGACAAGGTACGCAACTGGTTCTCATCCTCGAATCCTGTTTTTCTTCGTCTTGAAATGGCTCATGAGATAAAGAATGTTTTGTCATCCTTGGATGAACTTTTTGTGCTTTCAAATGAAATTGGGCTTCAGGCAGTGCAGTTGGTAAACTCACTTCCTGATCTGAAAGATATAAGGTCAACAGTTCCTTATGTGGAGGATTCTAAGATTGTAGGAAGGGAGGATGATGTATTAAAGATGATGAACATGTTAATTGGTCATGAGTACGAGGAGGACTTACCAGTTATTACCATCCTGGGCATGGGTGGTCAGGGTAAGACAACCTTGGCTCAACTAATTTACAAAAACGACAAGGTTAAAAGTCACTTTGAAAGGGTAATATGGGTTTGTGTTTCTGTTGATTGTTGTGTTCAAAGATTGTTAGGTGAAATGTTACAGTCTCTCACAGGAAGGAGCCACGAATTGACAAATGTAGAAGCTTTGGTAAATGAGCTTAAAGATAAGCTAAGAGGTAGAAGATATTTGCTGGTACTTGATGATGTTTGGGATTCTAATGCGGACTTGTGGAGTCGCATGAGAACATGTTTACTTGAAATTGATGGTTCCAGAGATAGCAAGGTGTTGGTCACTACACGCAGCGAGTACGTTGCTTCAGCAATGAGAACATCTGAGTGTCACCAACTCCAAAAACTTTCAGAAGACCAGAGTTGGTTATTGTTTGAAAAATGTGCATTTGCAAAAGGAGGAGCAAGAAATACACCACAGGTGATGGAAGTAGGAAAAATGATTTTAAGAAGATGTGGAGGTGTACCCTTAGCTATAAAAACAGGTGGAGGCTTATTGTACCATAACAATTCTGAGGCAGGGTTATCAATGATTGAAAGAAGCAACTGGTGGAGTACAGATGGTGGAGAAAACATAGTTCTATCAACCATTAAGCTTAGTTATGATAATTTGCCTTCACTCCCAGTCAAACAATGTTTTGCAAATTGTGCAATCTTTGAGAAAGGCACTTCTTTGAGAAAGGATTCACTTATAGAACTTTGGATGGCGCAGGGGCTGCTTACTCCTCCAGAGGGGAGCAACTTGCAAATGGAGGACATGGGAGAGATCTACTTTAATATTCTTTTGAGGAACTCTTTGTTCCAAGATGCTCGAAAGATTTGCAATACGGAACATTGTCAGATGCACGACCTTGTACATGATGTGTTACTTCAAGTGTCAGGACAACATTGTCAAGGAGATTGGAAGGTCGAAAGCAATGAGATTCGCGCCGTTTATCTATCAGTTACATCAGATGAAAGGGCAACTTGGAATAGTGTGAAATATGCATTTCCCTCGAAGTTGCAAACGCTTCGTCTAAAAGGTCTTGGACTTGGACTATCTGATCTTTTGTTTGAAAACCTCAAACGCCTCTCTGTTCTGATAATTGAAATTTGGGATGTAAAGACATTACCAAATTCTATTGGCAAAATGAAACATTTAAGGCTTGTTGATGTCAGTCGCACTTCCGTAAAGCAGCTTCCAAAGTCATTCACACTGTTATACTATCTGCAAACCCTGCGAGTTCGCGATTTGAAACATGTGCCAAAGGGGTTCATGAATCTAATTAACTTGAGACATATTCACTTGGAGGATTCTTGGATGTCTGAAGTTTTGTTTCCAGGATTAAGTAAACTAAGAAATCTTCAGACGTTGCCTTACTTTAAGGTGAGTAGAAGCAAAGGCTTCCAAATAGAAGAGTTGGAACATTTGGATAATTTAAGAGGCACGTTAAAAATATTGAGCCTTCAAAATGTGAGGAATCATGAATCAGCTCTGAAGTCCAACTTGTCCAAGAAGTTCGGCATTCAAACTTTGGAACTCAATTGGGAAAAGAGGGAGGAAGAATGCGATGACATTGATGTCATCGAGGGTTTGAAACCACATCCAAACTTGAAAAGTTTAAAGATCAATGGCTATCAAAGCTCAAGGTTCCCATCCTGGATGATGCCCGCGAAGCATTTGCTACATCTCTGTAACCTAGTGAGTCTAACACTAAAAAGGTTAGGTAAATGTGAAAGACTCCCATCACTCGGAGATTTGCCTTGTCTCGAGCACCTGATCATACAAGAATTAACAAAACTGAAGTGCATCGAGAAGGAATTTTATGGTTGGTCATCAAATCTTGAGCGGATGACAAAAGGCAATTCTAGTAATAGCTCAGGAATCATTACTGTATTTCCAGCTCTAAAGAGCCTTGAGTTATGTGGTATGGACAGTTTCGTGGAGTGGTCCAATGCAACTGAAATCATTCCACCAATGCATCCATCATCATCATCATCATTATCATCATCATCATCCTCAATTCAAGTGAAAGCGTTTCCTCAATTGAAGAATATTACAATTGTTAAGCTTCCGAGGTTGACTCTGTTTCCATACTTAGGCATCCTACCCAGCCTTGAGGAGTTGTATGTATCACGTTGCAATAATTTGACAATTTCTTCTAGAAATTGGAATATGGGGAGTAGACGATTTATTCAAGGATTAGACATTGATAATCAAAGGGATTCATCTAGACCTATTGATTCAGAAGATATCCAAGATTGTTACTTCCCCTCCCTGCGGAGACTACATCTCTTCTTTTGCGACAACTTTACAAAGCCATTTTGCAGCCTCATCAAGAGTTGGGCGCCACTTGAGACCTTGTCCATCATTTGCCACCCTAATTCGGTGCCCAAGGAGGATCTGCATCACCTAACCAGCCTCGAGACATTAAAACTAGAAGCCGTAGAAAACGACGAGGAACTTGATTGTTATCCTTGGCCGAATGACAACAGTAGTTTTGTCTCGCTTAAGTCTCTTCACTTGTGCGGATTCAATTTGCAAAGGGTCGCGCGTCTCCCTGATGAAATGCAGTATTTGCCCAGATTGGCCACTTTAACTATAACTGGCTTCGATGGGTTGGAGGCTCTTCCAGATTGGATTGGTAACTTAGGGAGTCTCGAAACATTGAGGATTGAAGACTGCAAGAGTATCAAACAATTACCGGTGGAAGCATTTCAACGGCTCGCCAACTTACGAGCCTTTACGATTGACAAATGTCCTCTTCTACAAGAACGATGCATTAGAGTAAATGGCTCAGAATGGCCCCGAATCGCCAAAACTTTGGACCCGGTGGACCCGGATGTCGTTAGATGGGGTTTAAATGTCCTGAACCAGCTGTAAGCATGGGCGCTTGTGGTTTTCTATTCCACTTTCAAAGTATCTAGATTCCAGACATTCGAAATTAAGCTTTGTTCCTTCCCTTTTTCATTTCAATGAGAGAGCTCAGTTGCTTTGAGTTTTTAGTTCTTGTGTGTTTTAAGATTCTGGAGCTTTTGAGTTGTGGAATTTCATTAATTTGCTATAGCTGATGTCAATAGTAGTCTAATATACATATATATATGTGTGTGTGTGTGTGTGTGTGTGTAATTTATATAGACAGAGGAAAGTAGAATAATAGTTTAATACTCTGCCTAAATTTTTCAAGTGTGCCACATTGTAATGGCAGTAAGCTTAGAAACATACCCATCCAACCACATTTGAGCTTAAAAATTTGGAGGAAAAGCTTTGATAAACTAAGTTATTAATAATCTCTTATTATACGTTGATGTACTCTTGAATGCGTAAAATTTAAAAAAGATAAAATAAAATAAAATTAACAGTTTCTTTATTTATTGTGTTCCTTTGAGCTTCTTGTCCCTGCTAATTTCCGAAATGCCAAAGGCACTTCCTCACTCACCCCAGCACCTGGTTTCCAAATCCGCATCAGTTCCTTCTTTTTCTCTTCATATTCATGAACCTCTACAAGCTCTTTCTTTCCATCCAACCATTCAAATGGCACCTTCATTGCTGCTTCTTTTGCATTTTTGTTCTCAGACTTGTTGTTATTTATCTCATACCTCATTTGATCGAGGTAACCCAATAAGGTCCGCATTGCAGCATTCTTCTTTCGGTGCTCTTCGTCCTCAGCCTTAAACTTCTTAGCATCTTTTATCATCACGTCGATCTTGTTTTTCGACAACCTCCGGCTCTTGATCACGGCTTTTGTCTTGCTCCCGGTGATTATATCCCGCTTGGATACTTGCAAAATGCCATTGGCTTGTAGATCAAAGATGATCTCCAACCGAGGAACTCCCCTTGGTGCTTTTTGAATGCACTTGAGAATGAATTCGCCTAAGAAATTGTTGTCACTTGTTCTTGTTCTCTCACCTTCGAACACTTTACTACGGACAGAAGAAAGGTAATCTTTGTCAATAGTAAACAGTATTTTTTTTTTTTGATAGGAATGACGGAATTCCTAGGGATAAAAACATTCATTACTTCTCCTATGGTTTCCAAACCTAGAGATAAAGGAGTAACCTCCATGAGTACAAGATCTTGAATCTTGTCATCCCCCTGGCCACTCAAGATTGCGACTTGAATTGTCGCGCCATATGCAATCTTCATCCGGGTCGATGTTTCTGCATGGCTTGTTCCCATTTAACAAGTCTTGTAACATTTCTTGAACCTTAAGGATCATGCTTGATCCTCCCACCATGACAACGTCGTCTATAGCATTCTTATTCATCTTTGCATCCATCAAACACTTTTCAACTGTCTCAATGCACTTGACAAATAAATCTTTGTTCAACTCCTCGAATTTGGGTCGGGTAATAGTTGCTGAGAAGTCAAAGCCTTGGAACAAGCAATCGATATCGATCAGTGTCTCAGAACAAGAGGAAAAGATTCTCTTGCCTCTTTCGCAATGATTTAGGGTTTCTACTGATATCCTTATCATGTTTCCTCTTGAATTCCTTAACAAAATGGTTCACCATGCGATTATTGAAATCCTCCCCACCAAGATGTGTATCACCAGCTGTAGCCTTGACTTGGATGTCACTAATTTTAACAGTGAGAATCGAGACATCAAAAGTACCACTGCCTAGGTCAAACATAAGAACATTCCGCTTCCCCATTACGCCGGCATCGTGATGATTTTCAAGTCCGCTCTTGGTTCATTGAGAATACGTATGATATCAATGCTCGCGATTTGTCCGGCATCCAATGTGGGCTGACGCTGGGAGTAATTGAAATAGGCAGGGACGGTTACTATTGTTGTAGTGCTTTTTGAGAATTTCCTTGTATTTGGCTTCTCGAATCTTGGAAGCATCTCGCCGTTCCTCGAGCAGGTCCAGGTTTGTTCGGATGTCTTCACCATTGGATTCTTCGGCAGAGTTGACGGTTCGAGGACTTGATAGTCCAATTTCCAATGATGAAACCGCTTACATTCCATACACCAAGCTGTACAGTGTCTCTTCTGTGGAAGTGTGAGCTGTGGTGTGGTAGGCCCATAAAACATGTGGAATTTCTTCAACCCAGGCACCTTTCAACCCTTGCAATCTTGTCTTGATTCCATGGAGGATAGTCCAATGAATGGTTTTTGCTTGTCCGTTTGCTTGCGGGTGAGCTACTGATGAGAATCATCGCTCGATTTGCATTTCTGTGCACCAGGCTTTGAAGGGATCGCTCTCGAATTGAGTCCCATTGTCCGAGACAACTACTTTGGGTACTCCGAATTGACAAACAATATTCTTCCCAAAAAAAAGTTTAACACTTTCCTACTAGATATCGATGCCAACAGTCCTGCTTCTACCCATTTAGTTAAGTGATTGTCCGCTACGATTACCCATCTTACTCCTCCTGAGCCTTTCGGAAAAGGGCCGATGGTATCTGTCCCCCATTGATAAAAGGGCCAAGGGCTTTGTATGGCTATCATCTCGTGTTGAGGTTGTCGAGTGATTGGGGAGAACTTTTGACATCTATAGCACTTTTGCACAAAATGATATGCATCTTTGAACATGGTAGGCCAGATGTATCTTGCTCGGAGAACCTTCTTTGCCAACCCTCGAGCTCCCATGTGCGCTCTACACGATTCTTTGTGTATCTCTTTGACAACATATGCCGCTTGGTTTGGGCCAATACAACGTAGCATTGGTAGCAGGTAGCAGGTACCCATGCTTGTAGAGAATCCCGTCACGTAACGTGTATTTGACGGCTTTTAGCTATAGAGCTTGAGGTTCCATCCGTCAAAAACTGGATAAAGGGTGTCATCCATGTGTCTCCATCTTCTGTGATTACCATGACTGGGACTTGTTGGACACTAGGTTGGGTAGAATCTCGACCCAAACCTTGTGACTGAGGTGAGCGAAATTCGATGAAGCTAGTTTGCTCAAGGCATCAACTCTCTTATTGTGCCATCTTACAATGTGGGAGATGACACATCTGTCAAAGTGCGCCTACAGTTTGAGGACTTTTTTGAGATATCTCTTGAGATGCTCATCTTTGGCTGTGTAATCTTTTTTGATTTGATTAACCACTACTTGAGAATAGCTGAAAAATTCAATGTTACGGACCCCAAGCCGAAGAGCCATGTTTAACCCCGTGATCAGGGCCTCATATTCTGCTACATTGTTAGTTACTGGGAAACCAGATCTCAGAGCATAGGTGTATTCAACATCATATTCCTTTATCTCCTCGATGTCATGCTCTGCTAGTGGTTTGGATTGGATGATCCCTGCTCCCCCACCTTTTGCAAGCTGAGCCACCTTCGACATACAATCTCCATGCTTGAGAATGTGCTCCATTTTTAGTACGTTGTCGTTTGGCTGTAGGGGCCACTGGATCTCCCTAGACCCGTGGCATTTTGACCAGAAAATCGGCTAAGGCTTGTCTCTTGACTGATGTTCGAGGTTTATACTCGATATGATGCTCTCCTAGCTCAAGAACTCGATTTGTGTGTCTTGACTAGTGTAAAGCAGACAAGGCTACCGATTAAAGTTATGTCAACAAGAACAGCAGCTACTTCTACTCCAATAGGAGTTACTTCTTCCGGAGTGTCGACAGTTGAAACGACGATATTGGCGGGTGAACAGGGAGCATCATCGACCCTTCCATTGGCAGCATCAGGGGTTGTGAGTACCCCATCGTTGAATAGGAGTCTATATTCTGAATTTAGAAGCTCCTACCATCATCAGTTTTATCCTTATTCAGGAGTCGATCAATCACCTGAATATGGAACATCATTATTGAACGCAAAGCTAGGGTTGGATCAGTGGGGTCGCATCAAAGAGTCAACGTACAATACGCCTCAAAGCGTCCAACAAATCATCATTGAGCAGCAAAATAATACCATCACTCGCATGGTTTCCCATATCGCAGCATTGGAGCAATCCCTTCAGAAGATAAATCCTAAGGGAGCAGCAACACTTGAGACTCCACTTGTAACCCCTGACACTTCAATGAGAATACCGATTCCCGATCTATCTATGTTGATTACTCATGAAAACCCTTTGTTTTCTAATGCTTCTATGCCAGTACAAGGGTTAGCAACCATGGGAGTAAGTGGTGTCATCCAAACAGGAGTACTGCACCTAGGAGGGGTGCCAGAGGGAACCCCAGTGCCAAATCCCAGTTGGTATTACAAAGTTGAGCAAGGTCGCCCAGCTTTTATGCCACCTTTAGGCAACTTCACATTCAATGGATGGCAATTACCTCAATTTGGGAATTACCACGGGTCTTTAGCTGGTTTTGGATCAACCCCATCCACTTTGGCAATGAGATGGCCACCAAGAGGGCCAGGTTATCCGGTTGTAAGCGGTTTTACACCTCCAAGAGGGATTGTACCACCACCACGACCATCAGCACCACCTTTTCCTTATAATGGACAAAACCTTCAAGGACAAGGTTTTGAGAATGCACAAACACATGGAATATCTACACCTTTGGACGCTTGCCCCGTTCATACTATCTCCCATGTTCCACCAACAACAAATTCAATTCCTAACACGGATAAGAGGTTGATTTTACAAGGGAATCCACAAGAGAACGTGACTGGCAATGTGCCGACTCCACAAAGGACGCCTCGTCAAGGAGCAGGAGTAGTTTTTCCTGAACAACTCACAGGGAATCAGGAGAGAATACCCAAGATTTTACCAAGACACGTTCCTACGGTTGAGGAAATGCTGTAAGACAACAGTGGATCCAATATGAGGCAAATCAAGCACAAAATAGAGCTATGGCAAGGAATAATGTCCATCAGAGGGATGCTAGAGTTCCACCACGAGAAAATCCACCAGAAGCGCAGCTTTATCAAAACCTAATAGGGAGTTCTGACAGGATGGTTTTGCTCAAGAAGAAGACACTGGTCTGGCATTTACCACAGAGGCTGAGTTGAAATCAATGTTGGAAGATATGGTTAGAAAGGAATTAGGCTTAGAAGTCCCTGAAGTGGTTGGAAAACCCTATCAAGAATATATGGAATTTGAACCCTTGCCTAGACACTTTAAAATGCCGGATTTTAAGTAGTTCACGTATGTCTGAGGATGATCAGCGTCCTGAAGATTACATCAGTCATTTTGAATTGGAGTGTAGTGAAGTCGGCCATAATTCTCGGTTGAAGTTACGGTTGTTCCCGTATTCTTTGGCTAGCATTGCTCTTGATTGGTATCGAACCTTGGAGCCAGGATTTATACCCAATTGGGGTACGCAGAAATGGGTGTTTATTCACAATTTTCAGTGGACAATGCCAAGATTGTCTATTGTTGAACTGTCGCAAGTAAAGCAAAAAGCCGGTGAAATGGCAGAGACGTATCTTACACGATTTCGACAAATGCATGCAAAGATACCAGGAGCTACATTTGGTAAGTATGAAGAGTCCACTATTGTCAAAATGGCAATTTCAGAAATCCAGGATTTTAAGGTTCAATTGGCGGTTATACCACATCCTATCCGCTCTTTGACACAGTTGACGGAGATGGTTCACAATACAGAGAAGGTCCTAAAAGCTAAGAGTGAGTCAAGACCAACCAAACCTAAGTCATGGTTTAGCAAGGAATCAATCACTAAAGTCAACAATGCATATTGTAGTCCCTCTAATGGCGATGACCAATCGTGAGATAGTGTTAATGCTGCTGAGATTATTAACTTGAAGGAACATACATGTGATGCTTTACGCCGATCGGTTACACCACAAACATGTGATCCAGGTCTTTCTTCTTCCGGAACAGTGAAATCTAATGATGTTGCCACCCAAGGGAAGGTTTACTCGTTCAAAATCAGTCAACAAGAAGCTATTTTTGATGATATGATGCATACAGGTCACGTACGGTACAGGAAAGGAGATCGGCCACCTAAGCCAACAGAGACAACTGGCAAATCTCATTCTAAATGCCATCTCCTGGACCCATACTACCAATGATTGTGTGATTTTCTGAAACTATATTTAGAAGATGATTGATGAAGGAAAGGTGAAGGTTGATGATCCGGTCAAATTGAATGTTAATCCTTTTCCCCCAGAACATCTAGTCCGAATGGTTAATGTTAGTTTGAACAGTCAGATGCCTACTACATGCAATACCACAATATGTTTACAGTGTGACACAATTCTTGGTGGATTAAAACTGTAATTAACAAAGCTGGAACATCGTTTTGGTGGCCATTATTATCAACCAACCCTTGCATAGGAATTTTACAAGAATGCCTTTGGCATACCTCTATGGGTCCTCATCATCATCAATTGTATAGAGGAACACATTCTACTTTCAGTCCTGTAACAGTTCCAGTTGTACCTATTTCTCCTCCACCTTATGGCGCATCTTCTCAGTTCTGTCCTCCATATGGTAGTATTCCTAAGAATACTGTAGAAGCTCACTGTGAGCCAGATCCTATACAAATACCTCAAACACCGTCAAAAGCGTCTTCTACTTCTACAGGTGTCTTGGTTAGGGCTGTAAACGAGTCGAGCCGCTCGCGAGTTGGCTCGGTCAAAGCTCGGCTTGAGTTCGAGATTGACCGAGCTCGAGCCGAGTTTGAGTTTGTTTCTTAACCATATGAGCCGAGCTCGAGTTTAAACAATACTCGCTCGTTGGCTCGTCGAGCTAAACGGGCCAGCTTTTTTTTTAAAAAAAATATATATATAACATATATAAATTTACAATATTATATATAAAATAAAAATAATATATATTTAGTCGAGTTCGAACTTCTTGTTAAGAGACCGAGTCAAGCTCGAGCTCAAAAAAATTAAGCTCGTTTGAGCTCGAGCCAAACTCGAATTATGTTAAAAATTACTCGAGCCGAGCTCGAGTATGGGTAAACTCGGGCTTGACTCGGCTCGTTTACACCCATAGTCTTGGTATGGGACAGATTGTCAATCCAGACCTTCACATCAAAAGCGTAGCCCACGCATGGTGAAGCCAAAAGTTGTGGATGACGACCGATGGCATCACAATCAGTACTCGTGGTATCCTACCTTTGGAAGTTACTGTCGGCTCTCAGTCAATTGTGTCCGCCTTCTTTGTAGTGGACACCAAGGCGTCTTACAATACTTTGTTAGGATGAGATTGGATTCACTCGGCCCGTTGCATGCCTTCTTCTTTATATCAATCTATTCTCTTATGGGGCACACATGGTCCTAAGATCATTAATGCTGATTTGGCTCCTTTCACTGCTCAGACTAATGTTGTTGAGGCATACTACTATGACAAAGAAGTTGGTTCATATCGCATGCTTGGGATCCATAAATACGGTAGGCCATAACAGGCCACCATACGCTGCGATTGCACTCTTATATAATGGAAGATGTTGTGCCAAGAAGTCAACAGGCCGCATGACTACAAACTGCTACCGTTATCGACTCCCGCTATCATTATTTAAGAAGTTTTTGATGAAGATAATTGATCAATTATCTTAGATGGATGATGTGGCTCTCGATTTAGAGCTAGCACAAGCTATTAAGAAGCGTGATGACATTGACCGTGTTCTTAAGTTTTTTGCTGACGAGCGCTGATTAAGGCGGAACATCCTTAACTCAATTGGGATGACGGGATATATGATGTTGACCTAGAAGTCCACGGCGACGTCATCGACTTGAATGAGCTAGCCATTGCCGCACCCAAACATGAAGATGGCTCCATGGCCATAAAGGACCATGTCGTCACCATTGATCTTGGAGATGGCACCATTCCTAAACACACATTTATCAGTGCCACTCTATCTGATAATGAAAAGCAGCAGCTTAAAGCATTACTCCATTCTTTCTGAGACTGCTTTGCTTGGGATTACACAGAAATGCCAAGGTTAGATCGCAAATTGGTTGAACATACTATTCCACTCAAACCTGGGTTTAAGCCCTACAAGCAACCCCCGTGGCGATTTTTAGAAATGTTGTCGGCAAGGTGAAGGAGGAGATACAGGGACTTTTAGTTGTGGATTTTATTGATGTAGCCACATATGTCGAGTGGTTATCAAACGTTGTTCTGGTGATCAAGAAAAATGGCAAAACCAGGGTCTGCACTGACTTTCGCAATCTAAATTTAGCCTTGCCAAAGGATAAATATCAGATGCCCATTGCTGAAACCCTAATAGACCGGTTTGTTGGTTACAAGAAATTTAGCTTTGAGACGGTAATGCTGGGTGCAACCAGATCTACATTGCTCATGAAGATGTTCCAAAGAAAGCGTTCCATGCCTCAGGTGCCCTAGGTATCTTTCAAGGGTCATGCCTTTCGGCCTCAAGAATGCTGGTGCCACATACCAACGCGCTACGAATTGTATATTCCATTATTTGATTGGCAATTTGTTGGAAGTTTATAGTCTTAAAATCCCATTCATTCTCCGATCATTTGCGCCATCTCTCTATATGTTTTGAACGAAAGTGGCGGTACAAGCTGAAGCTTAATCCTTTAAATTGTGCCTTCGGTGTAACATCTGGGGTTTTCCTAGGTTTCTTGGTTCATTCTAGAGGAATTGAAGTTGATTTCGAAAAGGCGAAAGCTATCCTTGACGCACGCCCTCCACAGAATAGGAAAGAACTACAGAATCTCATGGGCAAAATTAATTTCTTGCAAAGATTCGTCGCTAATCTATCGGCCAAGATCAAGGCATTTTCCCCACTAGTGAAGCTACCGACAGCTACAGGTTTTCTGTGGGACCCAGAACACTAAAACGTTTTTGATTAAATCAAGTTAGCTCTAATATAGTTTTAAGGCACATCAACCTCATCTCTTGTCAGCAGCATCACTTGACCACCTTCTCCTCTTCTGTAGCTTCGAAGTCTTCGTTCATCTTGGCCTTCAATCAGCTCTTCTTCCCGCCGGATTCAGCCCAATTTCTACCCTTGCACTTTAGTCCAATCAGCCACTTGCTATTTTGCCTAGAATTTCTCCATTTTGCCACATTTTGACCACCTTTTTACTGATTTTGCAATTAAACCACTGGATCACCAAAAGTCACCAAATTAATCTATAAACATAAAATCCTAATCTAATTGATCTAAAAACTAAGCACACAGAGACAAATTATGTGTCTAAAAACATGATTAGATTGACACTCATCAACTATGACGGAACAGAAGTATCCTTCCATTGAGAAGTTGCGTTTGGCTCTCTACTTTGCTACAACGAAATTATGTCATTACATGTTGCCAACACTTGTTTGTGTAATCAGCAAAATTAGGTTGGTTCAGTATATGCTCAACCATCAAAACATGAGTGGCCGCATTGGTAAGTGGATTTTGGGGCTAATGGAGTTTCAATTCCAGCATGTGCCACAATCCGCAATCAAAGGACAAGTTTTAGCGGATTTCTTAGCCACACATCCTTCCCTCGATGATAATTGGTCTTACATTGAAGTGGCAGCTTTTAACATTAACACTATTTCCCCTAGGCCATGAACTCTTTCCTTTGGTGGTTCCGCTACTTTCAATCGTTGTGGGGCCGGGATGGTCATCCATTCTCCAGTGGGTAAAGTTTTAGGGGTTTGCGTTCGGTTGAACTTCCGAGTCACCAATAACCAAGTAGAATATGAAGGCAAGTTGCTGTTGCTACAAGTAGAAGAAGAGAAAGAGGAAGAATATGAAGAATAAAGTAACAGCAACTCTGCTACTTGCCAAATGCTACTGTTTCTGATTAATTGATGGAATTGCTGCTGCTAGAGGCGAGAAATGGTGCTGCAGATGATTCCAGGAAACAAGGAAGAGAAGAGCAGAAGATTAGATGCTAAATTGGAGGCTGAGAAAAAGGGAACATGATGATTGAACAGAAGCATGCTCCTAATACAGCTGTTTACTGCCTCTGCTACTGGTGATGCTGAAGATTAAAGAAAGAAGAAATAGAGATTTGTGGCTGAAAATCGTGAAGAGGCGCCGGAGAAGAAGACTAAAAGAGAAGGCAATGATGAGAAGAAGATGACAGATTATGGCTGAGGAAGAAAAGGCAGCCAATCAGATGAAGGCAACTTGGCAAATTGACGATTTGCTGAATAAACAAACTTCCAACTACTGCAAGTGGCCACATCTACTCTGCTGCCAAGAAGAAGACCAGAAGAAGCAACCAGCCAAGCCCTCTCCAAATCTCTATAAATAGGACAACCAGTAGCAGATAAAAATAATAGATTGGAAAGTTAGATTAGATCCAAAAAATAGAGCAGTTAGTTAGTAGTTAGGACATAAACAACGGGTAGCAGAAGAAAGAGTGCAGACTGTCACTCGGGCAAGTGACGAAGTTCACTTCCCCAAGTGAGCAGACAGAATCCGACTTGCTGCACTCTTCAACCCATTCTATCTTCTATCTTTTGTATTGAATGATGCTGAATCTTTTATCTTTTGTTGCTCTCATGTTTAGATCAATAAACATGAGTAGCTAAACTCATTCTGAGGTTTAATTCCAACTATCTATATGTGAATGTTTGATTCAAGTTCTTATATGAAGCATTGTATCTACTTTGAGTGTTTTAATTAACCTTTTAGTTATATTGGCCACTTAGCTAATTGTGCATGCATAATTATGAAATCTTGAGAGAGTGAACATAGTTTTAGAAATGCTTAAACTAGTCTATGATGATGGGGATAACAACCATTGTTTCCAGTCATCAACGAGAGTTAGTTGATTGGCACAGG